AATGAAGTCGGGTCTCTACTGAGCTAGATGGGGTGCGGGGTAAGTGAAGATTAAGTATTGTTTTGAGATTATGTAAGCTTGATTTGTGAAACCCAAGAATGCAGGGTTCACAGCCAGTACCCAGGTACGTCACGTCGGAGGATTGGCGTGTCGAACGCTGAGGGACTGGGGATGGGCTGACCGTGTGTTGGTGGGCCGTTTGCGTTATAGCTAATCTTTGGGTCGCTTGATTTCGAGTTGCCGCCTCCGATCTCTCTAGATCCGCTAACTCTTCCCTCGCTATCCAGTTTTCGCAAATTCTGAGCATCTCCGCTCCACCAGCTAGTAATCGGATTTCTTCCTGACTGGATATCGCTTGAACCAGAGCCATTCTCATTAATCGCGGGTTCTGATTTTCTCGAGCTTGGACAAAAGTGTTCCATTGCTCGTTGAAGAGGTGGATTACCGTCTCGAGCTCCTGGTTGTCCACTATGATGTCGTCTAAGCCGAGTGGGGCTGGAGAGGGACTCAAGGCTGGGAATCGGTTCGGATTTGGTAGAAGGGGGGTCGGAGCTAGTATCGACCGACCCGTCACGGTAGTCGAATTGACCGGGAAAACTTGTCTGTCTACGGGGCGAGGTACCGGAGTCAATCGGTTGGACGCGGTCTCTAGCGCTAGGGATGTCGCCCTCGAGTTGATTAAGGCAGGTGAAATTCCTTGCTCCGACCTCAAAGTTTCTGCCGCCTGTGGTCTCGTAGCGGTGCCGGTAACTGATGGCAGACTGGAGCCTAAGCCTTCGAAGCCGCTCGGCTGCAGCAGGGCTGAAGGAGTATCTCTGGTCATCGCCTCGCTGTAATCTAGGAGATCCGTCTCCTGCTCGGTCCTCTGGTCGTTGCTCACGTTCTCGGCGTTGGAGCTCTCGCTGTTGTTGTTCAATTGAGATGTTTCAACCATTTCTAAGGTGCGCGCCCATCGTGGTGACGAGATTCAAGGAGATACGATTTGATAGAGGTAAGAATTCAAAAGGAAAGGAAGAGGCGAGTTCAGTTATCGCTATTAAAAGGTATCTCGATTGGGGTAGCACTTCTGATTCGAGACAGACCTTTACTCTCTCTTTTGTTTTGTTTCCTCTTAGTTTTCTTTTTCGGTTTGTTAAGGTAGGTTGAGATGTCGGGTTTCCACTCCGGGTAGCGAGTAGGTTCAGAATCTAGAGGTATGTTTTTCTTCTTCCTAGGATTTCCAGAAGTGGAAATCGGAGTCCAAGCTTGAGTGGAGACTAGATTTCCGTTTTTTGGAGGAATGATACGGTCTGGTTCCGAGAGATCTGAGACTGATTCTGATCGGGATGAGATTGAAGATAGGTCTGACGATGATTCGAGGATGGTCTGACTAGTTTTCTTCACTTCACGAACGAGGGTGGGTAGGTTCGATCTAGGAACGTAAAAATTAAGACAAAGAGGGAGAGTGTTGGTTAACACGTAGTCTTAGTCCGAACGATGGGTATAAGAAAAGATTTTCGCGAGCGCTCCGCGATGAAAATTTTAAATTTTTAGAGAGCGCTCTGCGATGGAAAAGGGAGATATTGGTTTTGAAAAAAAAAAAAAAACTGGTATACGTGGTTTGCTCTTTTCTAGAGAAAAGGAGAAAGCAGTATATACGTATGAGAAAAAAATTCTATATATATATGTATATTTTTTTTTTTTTCTTTTTCTTTGCCTGATGATTTAAGTTTAGAAGTATGATTATGAGAGGTCTTTGGAAAAAAAAATTCCCGATGAGGCCCCCAATTGTGAGCCTGGGTCTCTATAGTGACTGCAGGACACAAGAATTTGGGGGGCACTTTTAGATGTATTTCTTGAGAAAAGAGGAATACAAATAAAAGTAGAAAAGGGGGAATGAAAGACTGAGAAAAGGAGATAATATTTTGTTCTTTATTTATTTTTGAGAAGAAGAATTTAGTTGAGCAGTCTTACTTTCCACTAAGGATGGCTGGTAATAAGCGGAGCTAACTCTGACGCCTGCAAATCAACAGAAACTGAAATGGGATATTGAATTGATGAATCAGATCAATCCACAATTTTTTAGATCAAGGATCAAGGCTCTTTAAAGGGAAACCTATGTAGTTTTCAGCTATACTACCAAACAGGGAGAATTGAGGTAATAGCAGCTATGGCTTGCTTTCTTGGATCAGGGCTTTGGTTTTGAGGATTAGAGAAAAGTTTGAGAGAGACTGAGAGAATAGACAAGCAGAAAGATGCTAGCTAAAACTTATGAGAAGTACTTACTAATGACACCAATGACACTGAGTAGTGGGAAAGGTGGGAAAAGTGGAGTGCTTCTGGTTGATAAGTGATGGCTTGATCAGTTTCTGGGTGTTGGTGTTCTGTGTTGGTCTGGAGTCTGAAAATCCTCTGGAAGCGGAATCAACAAGCTCAGAGAGGATTTTCAAAGTTGGATTATGTAATCTGGCATTTACATGTGGTAGAGGGAGCTGAAACCTAAAGGTTGGAATAATTCTTGGAGTACTGTGAATTATTACAAAGTCAATGAAGGAATGGAGTTGGGTAAAAGTGATCAGTGGTGACTAGGGTTAATTTTACACCAGGAATCCATTTCTGAAGTCAGAAATGTTAAAAGTCTTAAGATAAAAAAGATAAGATACTATTTTGAGTAGAAATGGCTGTTTTGGCAGTCTTTTGGCCAGCTTGGTTGGCTCTAAGGCTGACACTATTCCACTGTGTGGCGGTGGGAGTTCTTTGAAAGAAATAACTCGCTTTTTGAGTATCCAGTCAGGGGATATGAAGTGAGCAGATACCACCATGAACGGGGTCTGATTTGATCAAGTCCAAAGGTTGGTTGTCAAGGCGACTCGATCAGCTTCGGAAATCTCGCGAGAAACTTTGGCCTTCATTGAGTTGTACATCTCGATGATGTCCTTCTTCACAGTGATCCGTCCATGGAGTTTGAATCTTGGTTGCAACGCTGTGGAAAGAAAGGCGCGCCCTCGGAGATTTCTTGCACTTCTCCGCTCCGCAACACGTCTTGCTCCGGTTTGTTGCCCGGGGTAACTTGCTTGATGGTCTTGTAGGTAGGTAAAAACAACTCTCTTTTGTTGCTGTTTGGTAGGTAATACTCTAACTCTAGTCTATCTCTAACAATTCTTTAGGCTAATACACGATTCACTCCTAAGTCACTCTGTTTTTCTGATATGTTCTGAGTCATCAGTCCCCCTCTCTCCCTCCTCTTCTGCCTCGAAGTCCATTCCTCCTCAGTTTCCCACACTCTGGTCCCTTACTATTTCCCGCGCTGTCATCCGCTGCCACCCCCTTGGACTCCGCATGTCACCCCTCCGACGCCTGTCGGTCCAAGTACTCCTCCGGCCGCTCGTAAGCAGGTCTCCCACCGCCGCTTCCGCCTCTGGTCCGCTCCGAACCCCGCTTCCGCCCCTCGATGCTCCCCGCTCTTTGTAGCCCCTCCGCAGTATACACTGAACCCCTGTTCCGCAGTCGGCCGTGATCCACGGTGTCCGCCGGTGCCCGGATTCCCCGCAGTAAGCTTTTCGGAACCTTGTGCATTCGGTCTACTTTTATCCGCTTTCCCGCGCCTCGGAAAGCTAGACTTTCCACTAATGCACCACAGCTTTCCTCAGCCTGCTTGTGTAGCGTCAGCTCCGTGTGCTTTCTGCATCAGCGCCGCGAGCATTCCACATGCCCCAAACAAACCCGGCCAAGGCTTTGGCCAAGGTGCGCTCCCGCCACCACAACACCGCGAGAAAAGCCTTGAAAATTGGATGCTCCACCGACTTGAAAGGATTTTTGTCGGCTATGATGAGCTTTGTCAAGAGCTCTCGGCATTCTTCCTGGTTGAAAGTCCAGTTGGAGGGGGTGGTGCTAGATCCTGATGTCATCTTCAGCAGAGTTTGCTTGCTTTGTGTTGAAAAATTCTTGCATCGGTCGAGATGGCGCCACAGTGGTGTCGTTCCACAAGAGGACTTTGCACTCATGTTTGCCCTGCAGTAGTTACAGATTTCACGCTTCTCTTCGCCTGTAGAACAAGATGCCAGTATCCAAATAAGTGAGAATACGAGTTGAAGGGCCAAGGAATTCCAAACTGAGGTTAAAAATAAGATTCATACCTTTTCCGAAGGGTTAATTATAATGCTCCCAGATGTCGCTTGTGGTCTTGCGCTATATATCTGATTTACTGCTGATATTCGAAGTGTTTGTGTCCGACTTGTCAGCTGGAGGAGCCTTGTTTTGTCGTGGTGGTTGCTGTGTTGATGTCGAATCGGTTGCACTTGTTGCCAACTGGTTCTTGTTGGAATCTGGACCGTTCTGACTTTTATTGACTTTACTAATCTCAACGACATTGTCTTGACTTGTGTCTGAGTCTGACGAATCCGATTCGGAGGATTGAGATTCGTCCGATCCGGAGCTTTGACTTTTGGAGTTATTGCGGACCTCGGCGAGCTTTTTCCTCTTTTTTTGGTTGCTTCTGGTTGGGTTGGATGCCTTTCGCGCTTGGAGCTTCATCGTAAGTGGTATGTTTGATATCTGGATATGAGTATAATGATTTGTATTAATCAGTTGTGTGTTTTAGGCTTCAAGGGATGTTTGTCCGCGGCGGCATAGCGCAAGCAAGGCAGCTCCTGGGCCATTAGAGACGGGTCAACCGGGTCAACCCGAATTCCAATTGGGCTGCCCGAACCCAACCCGCAAATCAACCGGGTCAACCGCGGGTCGGGTCAAGTCTCTCAGATCCAAGCTCAAATGCTGCCCAGATCCGACCCGTTTAGAGCCGGGTCACGGGTAGTAACCGGGTCGACCCGACCCACTTTCATCCTGACATCAGACACATCAATGCCTCACCACAACGGTGGGCCAGCTACGCTAACTGTAGCGTTAGCGTAGCGTAGTGTAGCAAAAAAGCGCTACAATGTAGCGTAGCGTTAGCGCATTTTTCAATTTCTGCGCTCATGCTACGCGCATGGGGGAAAAATTTGCGCTAACGTTTAGCGTAGCGTTAGCGCAATTCCCCTCATGTGCGCTAACGCTACGTGCACAGGGCGCAAAAAATCGCCCGCTACGCTGCGTTACAGCCATTTTTAGCGGTTTTTAGGTGTTTTTTGCCGCTAAAAACGCTGTAGCGTAGCGTAACGCAGCGTAGCGGCGCCAGCGGTGCGCTAACACTACACCAAAATTTGGCTAGTGTCAGCGCCGCTACAAGTTAGCGTAGCGCAGCGGCAGTAGCGGTGCGCTAACACTACACAAAAAAAAATGGCGCCGCTACGCTAACGCTACATGGGCCTGTAGCGTAGTGTAGCGTAGTGGCCCACCTCTGCTCACCATACCTGATGCCTGTTTGCATGCAAACGGACATCAGACACATCCACACCTCACTACACCATGCCCATTTGCATGCAAAAAAGACGTCACACAACCACCTCACTTGTCAGCCACAGAGCACATTTCACAGTACGTGAAATGTACCTAGTAACTGCAATAATAATAATTAATTGAATACTGGAAAATAGTATACATTGTTGTTAAAATAATAAATAAATAAATATGTATTTACATTTAATCTTAATTCATAATTTATATTTAATAATTCTATAATTAACTGTGAAATCCCCTTGAGTATTGTACATATAATATCACTAGGATTTCACAGAAATATCATTAGAATATAGTATTAAAACAATGTTTATTCTTATACATTATGTACATATTTTATAAGCCATAAATAATTACATATGTATAAAGAATCAGCTAGTAGAAGCGTGAAATGGATGAGGAATAAGCTATATACATTTATCTGAAGCTTACCCATCCTTGATCACATCATCAGGGCATCAGATTGCATCATAACCCTCTTGGATGGCGTCATCAGGACCCTTTTGTGCTCTAATTCAAAGCTTGCATAATTCAAAGCAGCCTACACGGGAAAGGAGCCCAAATTCTACATGCAAGACTGAATTATGCATGAAGGACATGCATTTCTCATGATCACAAGCTTGCATAAGCAGAGTTACACGTATGCAAACAACTCTACAATTGCACAGCCCCTGCACAGTAAATGTAGCCCTTTAAATTACGTGAGAAATAGGCCACAAAACTCAATTATGCATGTATGATCTCATGTCCTAGGACCTTCCACCCATGCATAGCACTGCACAGCTACAGCTCCCATCCTTACACGAAACTGTAGAGCTGCTAAGAAGCTCCCTAGTGCCCTGAGGGCCTCTCCTCTTCCCCTGAGCCTCCTGTAGAATATTTAAGGAGCCCTGATTCCTACCTTTTCCCCCCAGGAAATTCTAGTAGCATCAAACCAACACTTGTACCGTGTTTATTAGTGATTAAAACCACCAATAACCTTACAAACCAGCTACCTTAGACCTAAATAGATTTACTTTGCTCAGATTCAAGGCATTTCTACTTATCTCTATTGCATAAAGAATTATCCCCCAGGTTAAACAATTCTGGTCCTTAAGTGTTGATACACTTATTAATCTAGATTGTTGTTAAAAGACTAATCCCAAGTGAGTTGAAGAAGTCCTCACCTTGGAAGCCTATTAATCCATACAAGAGGATTGATCCGGATGCCCAATTAAATAATTGGATGAGTCAGCAGTAGAAGTACCATTCCTCACTGACTCCTCCCTGTTTCTTTTACAGGTTGAGGGATTTAACCACGAATAAACCTTTCCAATTACTCTTCTTGTTAACACTCAGAGCACAACCCTTACAGGTTAGTAGCATAGAGGCTGACATCACTACACCTCACAAACCATTTTCGGGGACTGAATTGAAAGGATATAGTACATCAAGATCAAACTGGTCATTAAATTTAAATAAACAAAAAACTCTTACATAAATTATTTTTTTCCCAGCTTCTAGCAACATCAGAAATTTGAGTCATAAATTTACCATAATTTTTGTGTCTGATTGTGGTTAACACCAAAGTGCTTACCAAAATTCATCACCCCTTGCACATGAGTAAAAATATAGAGAATTGAAATTTTGACACAGTTGAAGTGTGTCTGTGAAACTCTAGATCTATTTCTGAAAGTTTTACATAGAAGTATTTGATTGTAATTCAATTCTGAGTCAGTCATTCTAGAAAAAAACTGCTGATGCCATTCAAATTATCATATATTCTGGTGTTTCTCACAGTTTAATCAGCAAACAAACAGGGGAAAACCATGTGTCAAGATCAGGGAAAGCTGGAGGAAATTGAAAACCTTTCTTTGGAAATTGAAAATAAATTCAGTGTAACACCCAGTGAATTTAAAATGAAATTTATAATTATTTCATGGTACTTCTAGTGATTTTAATTTCTTTTTTTCAATATTTTGAGGTGACTGAGTTGAGACTTCAAGTCACTGGCTTGCCAGTGCCTTGGAATTTCCCCTGGTGCTCCTTCAATCAACCATTCCCCTGAAGAGGCACCAGTAGTATTACAACACAACTTAGCTATTGAACAACGTCTTTGCAACAGCACCAGAGTTGTGATTGAAGGGATTAGTCCTAAGGCAATCAGTGGTCAGATTTTGACAGGACCATTCAAAAATACTGAGGTCCTAATTCCCAAGATCACACTCTATCATGAAGGTGATTCAAATGTCAAGGTTGCATTTTATTGATATCAATTTCCAGTAGCAATAGATTTTTCCATGACTATCAATAAGTGCCAGGGCCAGAGTATGAGTCATGTGTCATTGGTACTGAAGGACCAGGTATTTGCTCACAAACAATTATACGTGGGTCTGTCCAGAATAGAAAATGTCCAAAATACCTTTGCGACTCAGGTAGGTGCTCAGCCAAGCATCCTCAATGTTGTAGTTAAAAATATATTTAAACATACACCAGAATAGGACGGTTCACATTTGAATAAAATCTTGTTGCTTTTGGATAAGTTTGCTGCTTGCTGGTTTCATAAAAGTTTAAAAATTGGTAGACGTGCAGGCCAACTTTATGCATGCAAACTCAAATTGCTCTGCTGGTTTCACATAAATTTTTTTCTGAAATATTTCAAATGTGAACTGTCCTAATAGATTTTTTTGCTTGAATTGGGCATATCCCTTAAATGGGAGAGGTGTTGATCACCCAAATACGGGCACAGACAAGCCTGCTCAAGCTTGTAGTCAAAGTTATATCTAGGCATAGTGATTAATGATTTTTGTTGAGTTAATTTTTTAGCTTACTTAAATTGAATTGAGTAAGGCCTTAGTTGAGTTTGGGTTATGGGCATTATATAGGCGGTGAAGCCGTCATGACAGAAGTTACATTGGAATTTGGGAGTAACCTGCATGTCAACTGCCACCAGTTTGGTGAGATTTTTTCATAGTGAACAACTTCAAATCTTTGCAGTCAAATTTTCTTGTAGAGACAATATAGCCCTTTGTTTTTAAGGAATTTTTTCTGTTTCTATTTTTTCCAGAGTTAGAAATGAAACCAAATTGGAATTAACACTGCCAGCATATTTGGCTAGGTTGTGGGCATCCTAGTTTAACTGGGATATACTCAACCAATTTCATCTTGGTTGGGTTTCAACACCTTGGATTTATATCTCATTGGCTGAGATCCAACCAAGTTCAAACTGGGTACTGGGTACATCCCAGTTTAACTGGGACACCCTCAACCTATAAGTATAAGCTAGTTCTGCTGGCAGTGGAAGTTAGAACCAACTCTTATCCATGCAAACCTTTGATAAATCTCTATTTACAGACTGGTGGTGTTGCAAAAGTTTGAAAAAAAAGGTTGTTAGTGTTTTGTTGAAACTGGATGACTAGAAGAAAAAAAATTCTGCAAGCTGATCAGAACTTAAGCAAAAAACAAAGTCAATTCTGAACCCTGCTACATATTGCTATGTAGATGAGGACTCAATGGTTTCACAAGCATGTCATGAGATGGTGGTGCTTCTATGACCCAATGTCACAAATGCATACACCACGCTTTTGATTTCAAAATTTTCAGCAAGGCTGGTCGACCTGGGCGTGTTTTTCCTAAGAGGATATCAACTCAAATCTCAAACGGTCACGACATTTCCGATGAAAAGAGAAGCAGGTGAAGATGATTCAAAGCCACTGCCCGAGGCGCTTGCCAATCTGGAGGAAAAATTCAAGCAAGTCCGAGCAGAAGGGAAACGTCCAGACCAAGAATCCGCATTCATCAGTCCTAACTCAGAATCAGAGCGGTAAGATGTAGAATAATTTTCCTATATTTCCTATTGGTTGAAGGGTTGAGTTACTTGAGAATGTCACCTCCTTGCTGATGATCGATCGTTTTCTTTCGTCTTGGTCCCTTCCCAGATTTGATTGCAAAACGCAATTGTATGTTGGAGAAAGCCCTACAAAGCTATATACATATAGTACTGTAGTTGGATCTTACCTTCTGATCATATTTATTTTTTCGTTTTTTTTGAAACCTCGTCTCATCGGCAAACTTGAAATAATAATAATCCCAGATTTGACAGACAATTGAGGCAAGTCTCTCTCTCTCTCTTCACACCCATTTCTTAAGCAGATGATGGTCAACTGATGATCCTATTGCGGAGCAGGCTTTGGCAGCACTTTGGCCAAAGGCGACTGGAAAAAGGGATTGTAAAAATCTGCGATTGTTCAGCTACGTCGGCTCAAATTGCCAAGAATTTGGTTCTATCAGGAATAAAGACTGTTGATATGTACGATACCAAAGTAGTCCGTCAATCAGACATAGGAAACCATTTTTTCTTGGATCAAGCAAGCTTAGGTCAAAATCGATCGAAAGAGTGTCAAAGATTGCTCAACGAATTATCCACTTCCAAACGTCGACCTGTTGACTACAACGACTATGAAGTGCTGGGCGAGGAATACTTCGGCGGCTTTGATGATTTCCACGGATTCTGGGAATGGAATACGCACATCTGCGTCCGAATGTTAGCCTACGATGAATGTGCTACCAGTCAATATTGTTGGGACTTCAATGTGCCCACAATATCGGTTCAGACTTGCGGCTTAGCGGCAAGTATTCGGGTCCAGCTTCGAGAGCATATTAGTAAGCCCACTCCGTCCGCCCTGAATCCTTAACGTAGTCCTCAGATACTCCAGTTCTCAACGTTGGGCCGTTGAATGAATCTAACTTCAAATTATTACTTCTTCCCAAAAAATAAATAAATAAATAAGTGATCCCAACCAATCCAGCCTCTCTTGCCGATTTGAGGTTAGATTGCCCCTTTCCATCCTTATCTGAATACGTAAATTCTTTGGAGATGGACAAGATGAACGATCTTGAACATGCTCACATCCCGGCCGTTGTGATCATCATCCGCTTTTTAGAAATCTTCAAATCAAAGGTCAGGACCAAATAGAATCCAATGGCAATAATTGTTGGATTAACTCGGTCATGCGTTGATTATAGCACGACGGAAATTTACCTCAAGGCCCGGCTCAGCAAGAGGAATTAAAGCAGATGATCTTGGCAGAAAAGAGAAATGTGGATGAAGATAACTTTGACGAAGCAGTGGGCATGATTTGGAATGCCTGTCAACCAACCAAAGTAAGACTTTCTTCAAGACTATTAATCATGCAAGTTTTCATTGTCAAATTAATAATCCAGAATGGTCCAAATTGGATCAATCATAATGTCTCAACAGGTGCCCGAAAACGTAGAAGAATTATTCAAAAATCCACATTGTGATAAGATCCCCTGGCATGACGGATGGTTTTGGTCACTAGTGAAAACCTTACGAAACTTCGTGAAACAGAATCCCAGCCATCAATTACCTTTGGCTGGAGTGCTTCCAGACATGAAATCGGATACGAAAAACTATGTCAAACTCCAATCAATCTATCATCAACAAGCCTTGAAAGACTTGGAAACGTTCAAGAAAATTATGGATGACACTGACGAATCAACAGAAGAGGAATCTGGAGAGGAGACAGAGGGGGAGGAGGAGGAGGAGAAGGATCGGGGCCCGGGGAAGAAGGAGGAGAAGAAGAAGGTGAAAAAGGAGGAGGAAGAAGACGAGGAGGAAGACGAGGAGGAGGAGGAAGACGAGGAGGAAGATGAGGAAGAGTATTGTACCGATATGGGGCATTATACTGATGGACCCGATCTTGACGTTTCTTCTGAGATGCTTGAGACTTTTGTCAAAAATTCCGCCCACATACGTTTGATCCAGGGAGAAAAATACGAATCACCACCCAAAGACTGGGGTGAGTGCTGATTGACACACCCATTGTACTTCTAGTACTACATCCCTCATATCTCCCTTTTTTCCTTCACACAGTTGCCAAATTCGAGAAGGAATGTGAGCCTGCAAATGAAGAATACGTTGTTACTTGGTACTTAGCATTCGAAGCGATGGCCTTTTACAGGGTGAAGAACAAGGGTGCATATCCTGGGATGTGTGAAGGACAAGAAGATGAAGACTTTGATCAACTTTCTAAGTTTGCCCTTGACCGTTTAACTGCATCCAAATTGCATCATGAGATGGAGAAAAAGCTTCCTGAAAAACTCAAAAAAGTTTTGAAAGAAATGTGAGCATCTTTCCTTTTTTTGTGTTGCTCAGAGGGGGGGGGGGTTGGGTTGGGTTTTGTGAACCAGGTTTTGAATGCTTTCTTTTTTGATAAATAAAGGGTGAGATCGGCCGGATGTGAACTACCCCATATCTCAAGCATAGTGGGAGGATTAGTTTCTCAAGAAGTCATCAAACATTTAACAGGACAATATGTGCCAATGAATGGGATTTGTATCTTTGATGGGTATAGATCTACTACTGGAGTCCTAGAATTCTAAAGAAAAAAAATCAAGTCATGCAATTCTTGTCAACTTTCTCTTTTCTTGTTTCTCTGTTGACATTTTGCTCTCACCACTCCATTGCTACACCCAATCACAACTGTATGGCCACTCCAGACAGTAAACTGGGCCTGTTCTCACATCTAGCAACCCATCTCTCAAAAATACTGCCCATTGTAGGTGCTATTCAAGGTGCGTGGGCAGCTTACCTCTGCCACTCCTACTACATATACTCCTGGTGAAACCATAAAATCCATTGACATTCTTGTGCTGTACCTGTGAATCACCCACTGAAAACAGCTCTTGTTCAACATATTAGTGCTACCCCCAAAAAAGTCATTAAAACAGAACTGAAATGTAATGGTACTCTCCATCACGGTGTAGTATGCCAATTGTGTTTCAAGTATCAAATTGCATAAAGTCTGTCAGCTCTGTGTATGCTACACTGGTTTCAATAATATAAAAACCAGGTGCTATCACTGTGCTGAAGGACTATCAAAGAAAAAGATTACTCTTTTTCACCCTTTATATGTGGTCCAAATTCCACAAAGGTTAAGTCCACACTCCTTTAAGCTTATTTTTTTCTAATGAACCAAATAACAGGAGATTATAACAATTACTAAATTGTTATAGTTTGGATTTTTAAAGCAATAATAATTGCTAGGAAGCAGCTGGCAAGCACTTGAGCTGATTGGCTACTTGTCAGAGGTGGTAGTCTTGCAGCAACTGCCTTATAAGGAATTTTAGTGAGGGATGAAAGGGGAGTTTCAAAGTTACACACTAATAATTCCAGTAGTAAAAGGAAGATTGGGATTGGGATGACTACTCTAAAAGTAGGAGGAGAATATTCACTGTACTTACTAAGTATGTTGTGGGTGAATATGCTAAGGAACCAATCTTAGGCCAGGAATGGCCTCCTTTTATATTCTAGAGTCCCCCTTGGGGACATTCTTAGAATATTCTAGAATGTTTATTTAATGTACTACACTAGTAGTTCTCTCATGATGTAATGAGAATCTTGTAGTAGATTAAACACAGTATTATCTATGTCCCCATGACATCATGATGCATTGTTATAGCCAATTACATCATGTGTCTACCTATAATAGAATAATACTGATGGAAATTACCACACACTTAACAAAGGTGGTAATTTCTACACTTTGAATTATAGTTTAAATATATAGTTGTAACTATATATTTTAATATTTCCTTTTATCTTTATTTTAGGGCCTTAATAAAAAAACGCGGTTTTTCCGCGTTTTGACGCGGTTTTGATGCGCCGCAGCACACGCGGTTTCCGCTTTTAAACGCGGTTTTTTAATTAATTTTTTATGGGTTATTTTTTGAGTTTTTTTGAATTTTTAAAGTTGTTTCCTACACTATAAAAGGCGTAGAATTTAATGGTAAAAACCATTTTTCATAAAAACGAATTTTGATTATTAATTTTTTTTTTCCACTTATTTTTCAATTAATTGTTTGCATGCATGTATGTACCTTATTTTTTATGCTTTTTTGAAATTTTAAAATTATTTCCTAGGTTTCAATGTGTGTAGAATTTAATGGTGCAATCCAATTTTTTTAAAACTCAACGGTTCATTTTTAATACTGAAATTTGACATTTTTTTCACTTAATTTTTTACAGCTTAATTCTCATCATTTTTTGACATTTTAAATTTATTTCCCACACTTTAAGACATGTAGAAAATGATGGTAACAACCATTTTTCCCCAAAACAAAAACTATACCTTGAATGCCGCATTGGACACGTTTTTTTAATTAATTCATCACTTTTTCACTTAATTGTTTGCATACATGTGTGTACCTTATTTTCTATGCTTTTTTGAAATTTTAAAGTTGTTTCCTACATTTAAAAGTGTGTTAAATTTAATGGTAACATTCAATTCCCATAAAACTCAACGGTTCATTTTTAATACTGAAACTAGACACTTTTTTCAATTAATTCTTTACCTGTTATTTCTCAATATTTTTTGACATTTTAAGTTTATTTCCCACACTTTAATACATGCTCAAAATGATGGTAACAACCATTTTACATAAAAATCGGCGCTTGTTACTGAATACTGCAGTGGACAGGCTTTTTTTAATGTTTTTTTGATTGATTTTTACCGGCCTGATTTTAAGCATTTTGTTTAATTTTAAATTTATTTCCTACATTTACAAATGTTTAGAATTGAATGGTGAATTCCATTTTCACTCAAAATACAAGCTTCAATCTTCATAGATGAGCGTACCCCGTTTCTTGCATAATTTGTACCATATACAAATTTTATTTGAATGCAAAATGGATACATCCATCAATTTTGAAACCTTTCAAAGTGTAGGAAATGAGCTTTAAATTCCAAAAAATAAGGATAATTGAGCGTGTAAGAATGAATTTGGGAAACACGTCAAAGGCATTATTCAAGACATAGTTTTCATTTTCATGAAAATCCATAGTTACCATAATTTCATACATGTTTGAAAGTGTAGGAAAAGAATTTAACATGTCAAAAAATAATGAAAAATAAGCTGTTAAAAATCAATTGAAAAATTCGACTCATTACAGTATTCAGTATGAACCATTTAGTTTTATGGAAATTGAATGTTACCATTAAATTCTACACACTTTTTAATGTAGGAAACAAATTTAAAATTTCAAAAAAGCATAAAAAATAAGGTACACACATGTATGCAAACAATTAAGTGAAAAAGTGATGAATTAATTAAAAAAAACGTGTCAAATGCGGAATTCAAGGTATAGTTTTCATTTTGGGGAAAAATGGTTGATACCATCATTTTCTACATGTATTAAAGTGTTGGAAATAAATTTAAAACATCAAAAAATAATGAAAATTAAGCTGTAGAAATTTAAGTGAAAAAAACGTCAAATTCCAGTATTAAAGATGAACCGTTGAGTTTTGAAAAATTTGGTTTACACCATTAAATTCTACACGTATTGAAACCTAGGAAATAAATTTAAAATTTCAAAAAAACATAAAAAATAAGGTAAAAACATGTATGCATACAATTAATGGAAAAATAAGTGGAAAAAAAAATTAATAATCAAAATTCATTTTCACGGAAAATGGTTTTTACCATTAAATTCTACACGCTTGGAAACCTAGGAAACAATTTTAAAAAATCAAAAAAACTCGAAAAATAAGCCGTAAAAAATTAATTAATAAAACCGCGTCTAAACGCGGAAACCGCGTGTGCTGCGGCGCATCAAAACCGCGTCAAAACGCGGAAAAACCGCGTTTTTTTATTAAGGCCCTTATTTTATACTCTTTTTTTTAGATTATTTTATATTTTTATTCCTACTAACCTCAAGGCTCTTGAGTCATGACAAAGTCATAGAAGGAGTAGGAATTTGGGGGAGGTTCCACTGAGCAACCCCCTCTAAAATATTATGAAAAGTTCATTCATGAAATAATATTCTAGGTTTTCTTATTATTATTACAAGTAATATATTATTAAGCAGTCTTTTGGATACTCTTGAGGATCTCTAAGGCTGACACTCCCTACCTCTCCCAAAAAAGAATTAGTTATTTTTGAACAAAAAGTAATTAATTCTTTGAGTGGTTAAGCTTTCTCATAGAATTCTCTACTTTGGGGATGTCCTTAGCGTCAAGTCATTAATGCTTATATCTCAATCAGATTCACCAGATATGGAAGAACCATCACCAAATTCGTCTTCAGAGCTCTGTCCTTGGTCATTTTTGGGTGTCTCTCTTATATCCACCTGGTTTATTGCCTTGACATCTTTCTGTGCATGTGTCTACCTATAATAGAATAATACTGATGGAAATTACCACACACTTAACAAAGGTGGTAATTTCTACACTTTGAATTATAGTTTAAATATATAGTTGTAACTATATATTTTAATATTTCCTTTTATCTTTATTTTATACTCTTTTTTTTAGATTATTTTATATTTTTATTCCTACTAACCTCAAGGCTCTTGAGTCATGACAAAGTCATAGAAGGAGTAGGAATTTGGGGGAGGTTCCACTGAGCAACCCCCTCTAAAATATTATGAAAAGTTCATTCATGAAATAATATTCTAGGTTTTCTTATTATTATTACAAGTAATATATTATTAAGCAGTCTTTTGGATACTCTTGAGGATCTCTAAGGCTGACAAAGTCCCAGTTCACTATTGAGAAGGGCATATATTCTTAGGCGTATTATGGCATAATCACATTCTATGGGTCATTTAACTCATAGTCACACACTGAAACCACTAGGCTAGCTCCACTCAGTCAAAAGTTATTTGGGATTTAAACTTTATTTGCATACAAAATGCTTATTGCATAATGTAAACCACAAGTGCGCCACATTTTTTGTATGCTGTTAATATTCTGGACTCAGTGCGCAAGAAATTGAGGGCCAAAAAAGGAGAGTTTCTTGTCTGGGAAAGGCTCGAGGAAAAAGAGTGTGAGACCCAATGATTTTCTATTCACAAGTTTCTAGCCAGTTTTAAATAGACTAAGTACAAGTGCAAAAGATGTGGTAGAAATGAAAATGAATAAAGAGTGATTTTGAATAAAATCTGAGAGGAAAAAATGAATGATTTCATAGAAGAAATAACCGGACAAGTCTTCTCAGTTTCTTTTAGACAAGCTATAAGTAAATTAATCATGACAAAACAAACATACCACGACAAATATATAAGAGTTGTGAATTCTTAACAATCAGATTTTATGAACAGACCAAATTAGAAAAAGGAAGAAACTTCAGAGAGACATGAGTTGTTGACAAGATCAAGAAGTTTCATTGACTTCAGAAATGAATTCAGGCAACAGAAAACAAGCTACTTGAGGCTATAAACCAGTCTAATTTAAAAGACTATTCAAGAAATAAGAATGGGGAAGAGAGAAAGGGGTTGAGGGATTTTAGGGAATAGTAGACAGAATTCAGGAAAAAATCAACATATGCACAGTGGGTAGCTGACAATGAAAAGTGGCTGTTTATTTTGGATTCCAGAGCTCCAAAACACAAATTTGAAATCATGAGACTTGGTCAGGTGGTGCATAATAGTTCCCAAAAAATGAATAGGAAAAAATAAAAGCAAAAAATAAAGTTTTGAAAGGGCCTTAATAAAAAAACCCGCATTTTCCGCGTTTTGACATGCTTTTGCTGCGGCACAGCACACGCGCAATCCGTGTTTAAACCCGCTTTTTTAATTAATTTATTTTTGCCATTAATTTTAATTTTTTTCAAGTTTTTAAGATTGTTTCCTAGGTTAAAAAATGCATAGAATTTAATGGCGAAGTCCATTTTCCATAAAAATGAGTTTTAATTATTAATTTTTTTTTCCACTCATTTTTTCTATTAATTGTGTGCTTACATGTTTGTACCTTATTTTTTATGCTTTTTTGAAATTTTAAATTTATTTCCTAGGTTTCAATACATTTAGAATTTGATGGTGTAAGCCAAATTTTTTAAAACTCAACGGTTCATGTTTAATACTGAAATTTGACATTTTTTTCACTTAAATTTCTACAGCTTAATTTTCATTATTTTTTGCTTTTTAAATTTATTTCCCACACTTTAAGACATGAGTAAAATGATGGTAATAACCATTTTGCATAAAAACCAAAGACTGTTATTGAATACTGTGTTGGGCATGTTTTTTTTAATGTTTTTTTGATTGGTTTTTACCGGCTGGATTTTAATCATTTTTCAAAATTTTAATTTCATTTCCTACATTTAAAGATGTGTAGAATTGAATGGTGAATTCCAATTTCCATAAAAGTACAAGCTTCAATTATAATACGTGAGTGTACCCCGTTTCTTGCATAATTTGTACTGTATACAAATTGTATTTGAATGCAAAATGGATACGGCGATCAATTTTGAAACCTTTCAAAGTGTAGGAAATGAGCTTAAAATTCCAAAAAATAAGGGGAATTAAGCGTGTAAGAATTAACTCAAAAAATACGTCAAAGGCATTATTCAAGATACAATTTTTATTTTGATGCAAATTGATTGTTTCCATAATGTTTATCATGTCTGAAAGTGTAGGAAACAAATTTAAAATGTCAAAAAATAATGAAAATTAAGCTGTTAAAAATCAATTGAAAAATATGACTAATTATAGTATTCAGAATGAACCATTGAGTTTTATGGAAATTGAATATTACCATTAAATTCTACAGAAAAAACTTTTAAATTACAAAAAAGCATAGAAAATAAGGTACACACATGTATGCAAACAATTAAGTGAAAACGTGAAGGATTAATTAAAAAAAATGTGTCAAATGCAGCATTCACTACAAGCAATACCGATTTTGCCCCAAAATTAAATGGCAATTTGGGTGGGGGAAAATGGATCAATTTTCTGGAAATTTTTTCCAAAATTCCTCAGGAGTAGAAATTAGGCTAAACTGAGCTATTTTAGCCCAGAGATAGAAATTCATCAAACATTCCAAAATGAATTTTTAGCTCATTTGGGACATTTTTATTTTTTGGCTAAAATAGCTCATTTTAGCCTAATTTTTTACTCCTGAGGCATCTTGTAAAAAAAGTGCCAGAAAATTGATCTATTTTCCACCATCCAAATTGCCATTTTTCCTTGGGGCAAAATCGGTATTGTTTGTAGTGATTCAAGGTATAGTTTTCATTTTGGGGAAAAATGGTTGTTACCATAATTTTTTACATGTCTCAAAGTGCAGGAGAAAATTTTAAAACGTCAGAAAATAATGAAAATTAACCTGTAGAAATTTAAGTGAAAAAATGTCAAATTTCAGTATTAAAAATGAACCATTGAGTTTTGAAAAATTTGGATTACACCATTAAATTCTACACACATTGAAACCTAGGAAATAAATTCAAAATTTCAAAAAAGCATAAAAAATGAGGTAGAAACGTGTATGTAAACAATTAATTGAAAAATAAGTGGAAAAAAAAAATTAATAATCAAAAGTCATTTTATTGGAAAATGGACTTCACCATTAAATGCTACGCATTTTTTAACCTAGGAAACAGTTTTAAAAACTTGAAAAAAATTAAAATTAATGGCAAAAATAAATTAATTAAAAATGCGGGTTTAAACACGGAATGCCCGTGTGCTGTGCCGCAGCAAAAGCGCGTCAAAACGCGGAAAATGCGGGTTTTTTTATTAAGTCCCTTTTGAAATTTGTGAAAAATAAAAAATGAAGTTTATTTTTTAATTTTGGAGGCTTTCATAGGCATTTTGGGGGAGCGGGATTGCTGAGAGAAAGAACAATTGGGAAATGAGAATAATGATTATAAATGAAAATTTTGGAAAAATTGGGTTTTAAATGGCTTCAAACGGCTCTTGAGTGGGGCATTCACCAGCCCACATTGTAGTAAAGCACCAGAATTTACTGTTTTGGCTCCTATCTGGACAACCAACCTGGCTCAACCTTTTTTGGTTCCAATTTTTTCATTTATAATCATTCTTCCCATGTTTCACTCTTTGTTTCTCTCAGCACTCCCACTCCCCCAAAATGAATAACAAAGCTTTTGGAAAAAAAAAATTACTTTTTTATTTTTTGCAAAATTTAAAACTTTGTTTTTATTTTTTCATATTCATTTTCTGGGACCTATTCTGCACCACTTCACCAATTCTTGTGACTCAAAGTTTGTGCTTTGAAGCTGTAGAATCCAAAACAGGCAGCCAAAAATAACGGTCCACCCAGTGTACATGTACCTCGCCTGCTGGAAGGAAGCCCTTCCAGTTGGAGAGGTACATGTACCTCGCCTGCTGGAAGGAAGCCCTTCCAGTTGCAGAGGATGTACTCAGGATGTAAACGGGTCGGGTTCGGGCCCAAAAACAGTGCCCAAACCCGACCCGACACCTATGTCAGGTTGGGTCGAGTCGGGTCAAACTTGAATATATGCTGCCCAGACCCGAACCCGTCTTGGGACTTTTTGGGTTCGGCTCGGCAGTTTGCATGCCGGGTTCGGGCCAACCCAATTGTTTTAGCCTTTGTAGAGCAACTCTGACAAAAACTGACCTGCCCGACTATCAAAACACCTGCCCGAACCCGACCCGCTAAGCTTCCGGGTCGGGTTCGGGTCATGTGATTTTCTCACAAAGTCTGCCCAAACCCGACCCATGACCCGTCGGGTCTCAGGTCGGCTTTGGGTCAACCCAACCCATTTACACCCTGAGGATGTACCTTGCCTGCTGGAAGGAAGCCCTTCCAGTCGGCGAGGATGTACCTTGCCTGCTGGAAGGAAGCCCTTCCAGTCGGCGAGGATGTACCTCGCCGACTGGAAGGAAACCCTTCCAGTTGGCAAGGATGCACCTCTCCGGCTGGAAGGAAACCCTTCCAGTCGGTGCCTCGCTGGCCCTTTAAAGGGTGGGTATCCAAGGATACCCGCTAAGGCGGGGGGATATCTGCCAGCGGCTGCGGATGGTGTTTTCCCCAGAAATAGCAGCCGGATATCCGCATCCGCACGGATATCCGGATGCGCTGGGGCCATCTCTAGTCTCAGATCTAGAGATGGGCGCATTGAATCCGGATATCCGCTCACGATTTCAGCGGAAACACACATCCGCATCCGCCGGCAGATACCCGCCAGCATTGGCGGGTATCTGCGCGGATACCCGCTGTAAGACTCAAAAAGTGATTGTAAGATCCTTTTTGCTGAATGGAGAAAGGGATGGAATGAGCTGAAAACTCTGCCTTTCTATATTATCAGAAAACAAGACCACCAAGATAAGCTTGGCAGTTTGGTTGGTGATAATGGATTATGTTCAAAGATGGTTGTATAATTGTTGAAGGTTGATCTTGTTGTCCAAAGAATTGATTGAGTTGTTGATGTTGTTTCTCGTGTTGATTTCTTGATACTTGTTTTCTTCCTTGATGCTGTATATGTATAATGTAATAGAGGTGGTTCTTGAACCCAAAGGGTCTGGGAGCACTACGCTTCAACCAGGACTGGAACAAAGGACTGGCTCTTCTGTGTAATGTTTGTGAAACTGTGTATATATTTCAACTGTGAACTTGACTACTTGTGAACCTCTTGTGTAATAAATATCTGTGACAGGTGTCCCACCAAAAATGTATACTGAGTGGGATGAGGAGGGAAACAACTGGCAGGCAGAGGCCTCCTTATATAGTAATTTATGAGGGATTTTAGCCCCAAGGGACCCCCTGTATGAGGCATTTTAGCTGCCCTGTACCTGAAAATACTGAGGGATTTTGGCTAGACTATCTACAATGCATCCCTTTTATATGCAAGCTGTAAAAAAGGAATTCATGTGTTCTGTGGCTGAATAAATGGGAATTTAACTGATACAACTGGTGGCCAACTTGTGGTTCTGTAAGTATAAAAGGAATTCAATATGGATAAAAGGAATCCAATATGCAATATACCCTCCATGAGTGCCTCTGATCCTGTGATTCTCCGTGTGACATCCTTGATTCTGCGTAACTTCTGATCCAGTAGAGATATGAAGGTGGTTCCAGTGAGTGACTAGGGTTTAAATTGACCGTAGATTCCATTTCTGACGTCCATTTGTCCATATCTTGAGTACTTCATTGATAAATAATAAAATTTTGAATTTTCTCCCTTCATACACAGGAATAATGACCACACTGCCCTCTGAATGGGTGGCAAGGCAGCCGGCTCTTCCAGGAGAGTTTTGTTTTTAAAAAAAAAAGAAAGAAAAAAAAACCCCGGCCCCCTCGGCCTAAAGGGGCAGAGGCCGCACCATCGGGAGGAACCCCTCCCGGCGAGCGTCTACAGGCCAGCTCTCTGGGAGCGGTTCCACCCGGCAAGCTGGTTCTTAAACCAGCTCGTCGGGAGGGGTTCCTCCCGGCGGTGTGGCCTCTTGGCACCGGGTATCCCTTGGGATACCCGGATATCCGCCAGGATTTTGGGCAGAAAAGGACATCCGCACCCGCTGGCGGGTATCCGCCGGGTATCCCTTGGGATACCCGGATATCCGCCAGGATTTTGGGCAGAAAAGGACATCCGCACCCGCTGGCGGGTATCCGCTGGCACTGGCGGGTATCCGCCAGCGGATAGCGGATATCCGCGGCGGATTATCCGCGACCATCTCTGCTCAGATCATCATCTCATCTGATCAGCAACCAGACAGGGCAGAGCAATCAATCTATACATTAACCAGTGTAATATTAATCAAGTGCCCCATTAAGATTTTCCACATGTTGAGAAGCATAGAAAAGGGAAAGTAACAACCAGTACAACTTGTGCTCTTAAAACAAGAGACAGTGATCTTAAGCCATTCTTCTCCCAACCAAGGTTAAGCAAGAAGGAAAAGACACCTGAATAGGCACACTTATTTAGTATTATCTCATAAATTCACATTCATTATCAGTAAATACACCAATACTTTTTCAAAATACATTAACATATCAAAAAAAACCTCTTACTCAACAATTCCACTCAAATAGTCTGCTGAATTGATTTTGATCTAGGTTTTATAAGAGACTGCTACACATAGTTTTCTCTATCAAAGTTTTTGCCACAACAATAAGAAGGTCTTTCAAACCAGCCATAACAGTTGCAGTAGATCATTACATACATGATATATCTCATCTGCTATTTCCCCCTCACATGACTGCCACCATTCTCAAAGGAGTTCTCACAACAGCCTCCATTGCAACTTCTATCAAGCTTCTCCTTGCTGAAACTAAGCCCCTGTTATGGGTGTTCTGGGGAGAGCAGGTGGTTATCTTCTGGCATCACATCCAGCTTTTCTCTTCTTCTGCTGGCCCTCACATTCTTTGTGCTTGTGGTCACGTTGGTCTCTGGCATGTTTGTACTCGGCCTCCTTCAGATTAAATTGTCTTTTGTCCAACAAGAGCTGTCTATCCATAATAGTCATTCACATGTTATTTGCTGTCTCCAACGCCCCCACCAATGTTGAGCCTTTGTTAGCAGTTGATTGAGAGAACTGGCTCGGAGTTGAACCAGAATCATTTGAGGCAGCAGACAGCCAATTGAAATTAGGGATTGTACTGTGACCTGTTGGGACTGATGATGGTGGCCCGTTGTCAAAGTTTGTTTGCTGTGATAACCATTGACCCGGAGTTTGACTCTCCAGTCTAGTTGATGACTGCAATTGAGAGTCAATATCATTTGACTGAGATTCCCCGGCATTGTCCAGTTGAATTTGACCACTGTTGACAATACCACTCATAGTCAAGCCATCTAACCAATCAGGTGTTTGATCAATCACACGGCGCAATGAGTCTAGAGATTGTTTGTTTGGACCTGGGTACCTATTCATTTTTTCAATAAAATAGATACCATGTATCGCACCAGACACTTCCCGGGGTGTACCAGAGGTACCTGTTGCAGGTACTGCAGGTACCTCCCCTCTATTTTTCACCTAGTTCCACTAGCTATCTCAACATCACTTCATATCCTGTACTAGATCTTTGGTAAAATGAAACTGGATGTGCTGTTTTTTTTTACTTCTTCACACTATTTTAACAAAACAATATTGCATATCCAGCTTTTTACTGGATATGACGTACTGTTGAAAGTGTAAAGTCAATTTTTCATATTTATTATAAAGGGTCTTGGTTAAACAACTCCCAGAAATTGAAGTTCTGAATCCCAAATTTCTGGGACGTTGAGAGGACCATCTGTGGACGCTCCTAGTTGGACCTCCAAAACCTTCAAAGTGTTTGGGAGTTGTTCCCCTTATAAAAAAATAAAAATAAAATAAAATAAATGAAAAAGGGGGTTAGTTTTTGTACCTGGGTTTTCCGCGCCCACACCCCGTTTTAGGGGTGCTGCCGCACCTGGTATCCTGCGCGGACACCCGGTTTTTTATTTTTCTTTTTTTTCACCATTCCAGCAAGCTGGAAGCCAAGCTACCAGCTTGCTGAGATTATGCGAGCTGTTGGCTTTGCTGGGGGCCCCTCAGCAAGCTGTTGGCTTTGCTGAAGGTCCTTTGCAAGCTGTCAGCTTTTCTAGAGGTCCTCAGCGAGCTGTTGACTTTGCTGGGGGTCCTCAGCGAGCTGTTAGCTTCGCTGGGGGTCTTCAGCGAGTTGTTATCTTTTCTGGGGGTCCTCAGCAGGCTTCTGGCTTTGCTGGGGGTCCTCAGTAAGCTGTTGCCTTTGCTAGAGGTCCTCAGCGAGCTGTTGGCTGTGCGAGGGGTCCTCAGCAGGCTGTTGGCTTTGCTGGGGGTCCTCAGCAAGTTGTTGGCTTTGCTGGAGGTCCTCAGCGAGCTGTTGGCTTCTCTGGGGGTCCTCAGCGAGCTGTTGGCTTCTCTGGGGGTCCTCAGCGGGCTGATGAAAGGGTCCTGGCAAACTGGTTTATTATCCAGTTGCCAAGGAGGCTCTGCCTAGTGCAATAGACTGCACAGTAAATACCAGCAAGCCGACAGGGAGTCTGCCAGCTTGCTGGGGCAGTAAAAAAATAATAAATGAATAACCGGATTTTTGCGCGGAAAACTGGGTATGCTCCAAGCTGCTGCGCACAGCCAAACCAGGTGTGGGCGCAGATAAACCGGGTACAAAAACTAACCCCCAAAATAAAAATACCCCAGGGGTTTTTGGGAGTCAATCCACCACAAATCCCAGGGGGGTTGGGAGTCGGCGCCGGGAAGATGCCCTCAACGGCCGAGAGGGATTCCTCTTGGCCGCTGAGAGTGTATGCTCTCAACAGCCAAGAGGGATTCCTCTTGGTCGCAGAGAGTGTACGACTCTTGGCAGCCGAGAGGGATTCCTCTTGGTTGCAGAGAGCTGTAAACTCTCAGCAGCCAAGAAATCCCTCTTGGCCGGCAAGAGTTGTACACTCTCAGTGGTCAAGAGGAATCCCTCTTGGCCGCTGAGAGTGTATGCCTCTTGGTTGCAGAGAGCAGTGAAGAAATTTTGGCGAAAAAGGCTGAATAAAAATACTTTTTAATTCTCGAAGAGAGGGCTAATGTGCTCGCAACAAAGACTGAAGAAGGGCTAATGTGCTCCTTCAGGACCAATCTAAAAAGAATAAAGAACCGATGATTTTTTTTTCTCAATATCTAGAGTAGGGAGTTAAGTAGTCTAGATACAAGAGAGCACAAGTTGTGGGACAGAATTTTATGCATATTGAATAAAAAAAGGTCGGTGACAAATGAGTGACAGGTGACAGAGAGGAAAAATGGAAGAGAGAGTGAGATCGATGAGCGAAAAATTCAACACCCCTCCTGAGCAAGAGATCGAACAGTTAGAGATGGAGGTCTGGATATTTTTGCTGTAAGTATTCTTCATCTTTGGGAGTGTATCGAGTGAGATGAGATGAATGTTGTTTTGAGGAGGAGGGGGCCGGTTTGGGCTGTCGTTTGTTGGGGTGCTTCTGGAAACAGTTGCTTTCCGTATGGCCACTTTTGAAACAATGAGAGCAGGATCGGAAGCCTCGCTTGCAATGAGGACAGATAATATCGGGGTCGGTAGTTTTGGTGAACATTGTAGCTTCGGATGCGATCGCAGACTTCTTGGTGTTGTTCAGTTGGTTTTGAGTAGCAAAGTCCTTGTCAGCCTCTGGGTAACTAACCTGAGTATTTAATAGTAAAAAGGTTGTTACTATGAGTTGACTGAAGTTTTTGAGCGTGGTGAGTGTTAGGTAGTGGGTGATTAATACCAGTCCTGTAAAGAGGAGGTTTCACTCTATCAGTATGGTCTTTACTGAGAGGCTTGCTATCAACAGCGCATCCGGATCAATACAAGGTATTAATAGGCATCCAGGGTACTAAGACTCACCTGGGATTGATTTGGTTATTCCCCAAAGGGAATGGGCTAACAATACTTATTAAGCTTTAACAAAATTAGTTGAAGATTAACAGGTATTGTTGATGGGAATATTCAGCAAGGCTATGAATACTGTGGATAAGTTGAGTAAGAGTACTGAAGCTTAAGAACAATAAATGTAGACAAGATTTATGTTGGTTACGGGTACTGTATCAATATAAATGTTAACTGGTTTAACTGGTGTCTGAATATTCTGGTGATTAATCAGTGAAAGAGGCACGGATTATAAGTTCCAGAATATTGAAGGGGGGAAAGAATGAGCGCTCAGAATCAAGGGAGCTTTGGCCAGGAGAATGAGCACATCAATTGAGTGACTGATCATTATTTGTCATGATCTGTAAGTGACATCATAATTGTGTACTAGTTGATCAATGTACTAGTAGCTCTTGATGCGTGTACTTAACAGATCCTCTAATAATGTAGTCATAATTGTGATCAGTGCATGTATTGAATGTATTAATTCTATTGACACTTAATACTTATTATTTAATACATGTACATATTTATTTGTAATAATATTTGACCGTGAAAATACTGTAGCAGAGGGATAACTTGTGGTACAGGTATTTCACGGACAAGGGAGTGAAAGGTAAGTGATAATTACTTATGTAGAACACAGGTATGTATTTACTAGATAAGTAATTAACAGATAGGATAACTGTAAGATAAATAAGATAAGTTAATAATAAAGATAAGATAACAAGAGGTAAAGGTAATCAACATTATGGATAAGTACTTATGTACATAAGTACAGGTGTTGCAGTTACTTGGTACATGAAAGGTACTGTGACATGTACTCTGTGGCTGACACTTCCTCCCTCTAAAAAAGGCTGATCCAAGAAATAAATTAATGTTATTTTCTTTTATCAGCTCTGTATTGTCTGAGAATTTTATCAGCATCAGGTATTTTATCAACTGTAAGCCATTCATCTTCTTTGGTACCACTGTATCTTACTAAATACTGTTTAATGTCCTCATTGTTTTTTCTGATTTTTCTATGTTGTAATATCTTCTTAATTTTAATTTCTTCTTTCTCTAAAGGAGGTATTACAACTCTGATGTTATCTTTTCTTAAAGGAAATTTATCATTATTACTAGTTTTGTATGGTTTAATTAGACTGACTGGAAATGTAGGGTGTTTTCTTTCTAATTCTCCAGTGAGTATAACTTCAACAGCATTTGCACCGTGTAATTGTTTGATTGTAAAAGGTCCTACAAAAGAATCTCTTAATTTTTTAGGTCCAGTCAGGTTTGTAAAATTAAATGTAGATATCAAGACTTGGTCTCCAACTTTAAACTGGTGAGCTTTGTGAGTTTTATCCCATCTAGTTTTGTTGTAATCTACAGCTAATTTCACGCATTCTGCTGCATATTTTTCAGCTTTGGTCATCATAAAGTGAAAATCAGAGGCACTTGGGTGTATATGTACTGCTTTTGACATTAAAATTTCTTTGGGAAACCAAGGAGTCCAACCTCTTTCCAATTCATAAGGTGTTTTATTTGTTGTACTGTGTTTGCTAGAATTGTAAGCATATTCAAGTGCAGGTAATAATGAACACCAATCATGAGTATAGTTGTCTTTATCCTTAAATGTCATTCCATAGGCACAATATCTTCTGATCATGTCTTCCAAAGTTTGAATCATTCTTTCAGCTAGTCCATCTGTTTGGGGGTGGTAAGCTGTAGAAAATTTCAGTTGTGTCCCGCATAAATCATATAAATTTCTCCAAAATTCTGACGTAAATTTAGGGTCTCTGTCTGTAATGATATATCTGGGACATCCAACATCATAAATAATAGAATTCCAAAATAATAAGGCAGTATCCATTGCTGTATCTTCTTTATGACATGGTAGAAATCTTGCTCTTTTGGAAAATCTATCAACTACTACTAAAATTGCATTGAAATTATTAGGTCCTCCGGGTGGTAAGCCAGTAACAAAATCCATGTTAATAACAGACCATCTTTCTTTGGGTTCTTCAATTTCTTGCAATAATCCATATCTTTTTCCTGTAGCTTTATTTGCTTTTTGGCATCTGTCACAAGATTCACAATAATCTTTGGTATCATTTCTAAAATTAGGCCACCAAGCAATTTGTTTAACTCTCTCAATTGTTCTGTCAAAGGAAAAATGAGCTGAGGATATATTGTCGTGACATTCTTTCAAAAATAAATTAATGTGTTCTTTTAAACAAATAACTACTACACTTGTATGTTTAATTCTGTGGTAAATTAATCCATCTAATAGAGAGAATCTATTTTCTTTGAATGAGCTAAGCCATGGTTCTTCTAAGGAATTGATCAGATCATTATTTTTGAAATTACTTTGTAATATATTCTTTATTGTGGAGCAATTTTTATTTTGGTCATAACTAATTCTAATTTCATCCCAAAATTCTTCTTGCATTTCAGTCACGTGTAACCCACAAATATTAATATCATCATTGTTATCATCAAAGGCAGGATTATTTTCATTATTTTCCTCTGGGAATAAACACATAATTTTTGCAGCAATTTCTCCGTCCCATGCTGGGTTGTCTGGTATATTTTCCAAAGACCATCTACTAAGTCCATCAGCATTTTTATGTATATTACCTTCTCTATGTTTGATAGTCATACTTCCTCTCCATTCTTGAATAGCTATTTGCCATCTGAGCATGTGTCTATTTGGAGTTTTCATACTTAATAAACTTTTGAGGGCTGTACAATCAGTAATGACTTCAAATTCACATCCATCAAGGTAATAATATAATTTATCTAGGGCCCAGACTAAACATAAACATTCAAGTTGGCTGGCCCCATATTTTTTCTCACTGTCTTTCAATGTTCTAGAAATATAACAAATGACTCCTTCTTTTGGTATTTCTTGATCTTGAATTTGGTGTAAGGCAGCTCCTAATCCTTCCATACTAGCATCTACATATAATTTATAAGGCTTATTAGGATTAGGCATAGATAATATAGGAGCAGAAGTAAGTAATTCACGTAATTTATTAAATGCAGCTACTCTATCTACTGTCATCTCAAAAGCAGTGTTTGGGCTACTTAATTTATATAGACAACCTGTTACTTTGGCAAAATCTTTAATGTGTTGTCTATAATAACTAGCAAAACCAAGGAATGACTGTATTTCTTTAACATTAGTGGGCATAGGTTTTAACATTACTGCAGCTACTTTATTTTTATCTATAGCTATGCTCAATCCTGATACTATGTGGCCTAATGCTTTAAGTTCTTGAAAACCAAATTGACATTTGTTCATAGAGATCTTCATATTCATTTTTATAACTCTTTCTAGAACAATTTTTAATTTGTTAAGGTGGTCATTCCATTCAGTGCTAAAAATAATAATGTCATCAATATAAATTATTAGCCATCCTTCACGTAATTCTTTATGAAATTCAGTATCCATCATTCTTTGGAAGTGAGAGGGTGCATTTTTAATTCCAAAGGGCATTCTCAAATATTCATAAATACCCATATGTAGAATAATTCTCATTAAGTGTCTACTATCTTCATGAATAACATTTTGATGAAATCCTTTAAGTACATCCATACACGTA